TCTTCGTTCTCTGTTGATGATTGAGATCCCAGAAACGAATTCGCTTCGAAACAATGTCGGTACCGATACTCGAGACTTGCCGGAAGAGAAAGAGGAAGCCGAGAGTTTACAATCTGCATCGATTCGGAGAAGAAGGGTTTCCGATTAACCGGAGCGGAAGTTTCCGGGATGAAATWAGGGGTTTYCTCCGGGAATTTTCGGAGGTGGAAGAGTACAACATCCGTGGAATGCCGGTATGGTGCACACTACTTAGCCACGAGACGAAGAACTCGGTGATTCCGCTCTATACTGTTGAAGAAGATGTTATTCGCTCACCGGAGCCGTACTGCGATCAATGTCGATGCACAGGTTCTGATTTGGGTTTTGGGTTTGATTTCGTRTTTGGGTATAATCGTTTTCGAGTTTCTGATTTGGTAATTGGAATCGAATGTTCGTATTTGGTGTTTGCGAAGTGATCTTAAGAATWGGGTTTCGCAATTGGAATMGATATCGATTTAGWTTTACGATTTGTTGTCTACTCGAGATTCTGGGTATCGCTTTTAGATGAGTATGCATCGATCTAAAGATGTAGAAACTGGGAATTTCGCATTTATCTCTGAATTAACGAATTGAGTTAGAGATGTTTGTGATATGTTTAACTGTGATTTTTGTTTGTATAGGTTGGAGCAATCACTTCGTATCAAAGAGAAAGTATCATTTGATTATACCTATTGATACCGAATGGAATATGCCTTTAGAAGATGATGTTTTTGATATGCAAACTCATCTTTTACATGGATTGATTCACACTAATGGCTGTGGTCATTTGATCTCCATCAATGGAATGGAAGGAGGGTCGAAAAACTTGTGCGGAAGAGAAATCATAGACCTTTGGGATCGTATATGTTCTAATCTCGGAGCAAGGTATTTGATCGTATTGATCCTTTTGTGTTGGTYGGATGTTCTTTGTCATGATTGGAGATTGAAAGTATGTGTACTTGTAGGATGATCACTGTCGAGGATTTGTCGAAGAAGAGATCCATGGATCTTCGGTTATTGTACGGAGTAGCGTATGGCCATTCTTGGTTTGGACGATGGGGCTACAAGTTCTGTCGTGGAAGCTATGGTGTGACTAAGAACGATTACGAGAATGCTATAGAGCTTCTTGGTTCCCTTGAGCTTGATGACATCGAGTTTGATTTCAGTGAACATAAACAATCCAAAGATATCAAACAGATTTTCCGGTACTACAGAGAAATGAGTGAAGGGCATTTGAAGACACTGAGAGATCTCTTGCGGTTCATGCTTATCATCAAGTCTCATGCTCCACAAACGAGTAAGCTTCCTGCGGTTCCTCCCCCAACAGAGTTCCCTCATCAGAAAAGATCGAAAAGGTTGTTTTTGAAGAAAAGCGATGACAAGTCTCTGCAATATAGAAGTTACAGCGATGTGGCGGCTAATTTGGGTAGTAGATGGCCTGTGAGAAGACTGGAATTCGCAGCTGATGTGATTGTAGAGTCACTGAAACAAATGAAAACACTGAAGCAGAATGGTATGACTCGGCAAGATGTTAGGGATGCAGCTAGATTGCATATTGGAGATACCGGTTTGCTAGACTACGTGTTGAAGTCGATGAACAATGTGGTCGTTGGGAATGTTTTGGTTAGGCGTTATGTGGATCCTCTAACACGGATTCTACACTACACAATACAGGAGCTTGATGGTGCGACGGAACTAATAGAACCAAAGAAAGTAGCTGTGCCAGAGGTGATTCCTTTGAGGCTTGTGGCAGAATCGAAACCTGGAGCTGATGTTCATGGAGATCTGTTGTTACTATACACAAATGTGCTGTTGAATTACCCGGAATCCGAATCAGTGAGATCTGCAACGCAAGCGATCCTAGACAGTAAACATTTCGTAAAGGAATGGCCTTTATGGGACAAGAATGACCAAATCTTTCGGTTTGTTTGTCGTATCAGTCCAAGTTTGATTGGTTTGAGACCAGAACAGATCACAGAGCTACCTCAAGGTGAATTAGTCACAGTCTCATTGCAAGCCACAGTGTTTGATCTAAAGCAAGCCATTGAAGAAACATTCAGAGATACTTACTGCATCTTGACTAATTTTGTTGTGAGTGAGATCGATGAGCTTAGAGAAGAAGACATGGAAGATGGTGGTGATAGGAAGCTACTGTTTAGAAGAATCGAGTCTTGTTCTGCTTTAACAGTGAGAGGATTTGGGATTGATTTGGAATCAAAACTGAAGTTTCAAGGTGGATGTGACACATGGATGGTGAAATGTGTTTGCAGAGCAAGAGATGATGATGGAGAAAGAATGGTAGCTTGCGACGTTTGCGAGATTTGGCAACACACAAGATGCTGCGGTATCGATGATTCGGACACTTTGCCTCCACTTTTCGTTTGTTCGAATTGCTGTGACGAATTCGCAGAGCAACAGAGAAAAGTTTTGCAGCCAAAATACGAGTTTCCAACTACAGAGAACATATTACTACTCGAAGCACCAGACAATTACTTTGGAATGATGATGTTCCCTTCAGAGAACTTCTTTACTGATCAATACATCATGTAATCAAACACAGTTTTTTCTATGTAAATAATCAATTTTTTTGGAAACTAAACAAAATTGTTTTCCTCTGTACAAGAATTGATGTATCAAAATGGTTTCTTTAGATGTTTAAACTCAATAGAAGAATCAGAATGTTCAACAAATCCTTTAGTCTTCATCTGTTTGTTCATCATCTTCAACAACTCTGTAACTTTTTCTTTGGTTCCTTCTCCACATCCAACTTGTAACATCACTACAAGCTTCTTAAACGCACCTAATCTCAATGCTTCTTCAACCTCTGCTCCTTGTCCTGTCTTACAGATCTTCCACATCACAGAAACCAATTTCTTCTTCGCAAACTCCGAAATCTTCAGAATCCTCTTCACCAAAATCGGCATCACTAATTCGTTTCCTCTAACTTCTTCTCTCCCTTCACTAGTTTCGCAAATCGCCTCTAGAACCATCAACGCTTTCTCGCAAACGCTATTCTCCGAATCCACGAGCATCTCCACCACTAAATTCACCAGATCCAATTCAATAAACTTCGAAACGATCTCTGGTTTTCTCGTGATCATGTGATGGATCGAAGTCAAAGAAGATTCACATACAGTTTCACGAATCAATCTCACGAACGCTTCTTCGACGCCATCGACCTCTAACAATGCCTGAACGTTTGCTTCGTCAAGTGATAAAAGCTCCTTCACCAAAAACGCAGCGTTTTGATCACCACTCCTCACAAAACCAACCAAGCGAGAAAACGACGTCGTCGACGTTAATGTTCCTTGCCCTTCTGATCCAATCGGAAACATCCACGTCAGCAAAAACAAAACATCCTCCAGCAACCGCGTCGCGTATGCGGTTTCCGAAAACGCGTCGAAACAAACGCAGAGAACCAATCCGGCGCCGTTTTCCTTCAAACATTTCCGATTCCTCTCGCTCTCTTTCACCAATCTCTTCATCTTCTTGACCATCTCCACACATCCGACGTGGTCCCCACGCTGCGTCGCAGACAATAACTTCCCACAAATCTCGACCACTTGATGACTCGTGACGGGGACACGTGGCGTGGGGATACGCTCTAACGATGAACCTTTGTTTGAAACGCACCATCCTTGAATCATCCTTCGAATCGCGTGGTTAGGGATCTGTTCCGAAGTTGTTAGGACTGTGTTGGTCACCGGACAAGTCTTGTTCCCTGACTCGAACCACTTCTCGATGTTTTCACGGTCGTAAGTGATCCCGGAAGCTATAATGACAGGATCTTTCATGAGGTCGTAAGAGATCGGACACTGAAACTGCGAAGGGATTGTTGTCTCATCTTCCTCCGAGAAACCCATCACCGGAATTAGCTCCTTTTTGCTTCCTCCTCGCCGTCTCAGTCTCAACGAAAGTCCCATGATAAACGAAGGATCAGTTTTTAGAGTTCTTTGACCGTTGTCTTACGAATGAAGGGACAAGTGGGGGGGATGAGATTTATATATATGTTTGTAATGTAATAATGATAAATAAATGTGGTCAGAGTCATACGCTTCTGGAACGCGAGTTGGTCAAAGTTAATCTATTTGGGTAAAAGAAATCACAGGAAATTTATAATAAGAGAATAATGGAGAAAGGTTTTAAGTCATATTACTATTCGCAAGCTGTTAGGAATCGGAAAAATTGACCGTTGAATGTTTGAAAACTAGAATGACGAATTGACAACTAAGTGCTTTGAGGTTTCGACCAAAAAAAAGTGCTTTGAGGTTTAAACTTATTCTTTGGTCTGAGAATTGGATTTTCTTTTTCGATTCACGAACACACATCACTTATCAATTAAGTAAAGATATTATATGTATATTAAAATTTAATAAGAAGTAAAAATGCCAAAAAAAAAAAAATATTGTTTTCTTAGTACGTACAGTCTTCGGCACCAAATCAGCTTTATATGACTTATCCCGTGTTCTTATACCGTTGTTGGTAGATAAGAATGAAATCTGGGAATGAACCCCGTAGTACTACCAAATCATTGAATTTTGGTAAAAAAATTGGACCACTATTCTGGTGATATGTTCATATTAGTTAGTTCTCATTAACCTATTACAAAAAGAGAACAATAACGATTTTTATATATTAGGGTTTTATAGCTAGTATCGTACCTCGATTTTCAAGGATCTAAGATGATATTAAATATGTATCTCGAACTTAGACATAAGATTTATCATATAAAATATGAACTTTTTTTATAAAATTATATTCAATATACTGGAAAGTTATATTTCATAGTTTTACGTGATATACATATATATTTTTTTGATGTGAAAACAAAATAATTTACTAGATCAAACAAATGAAAGATAAATATTTGATATTAAAAAATATTTTGTAATACTATGTGCACATATTCATCAAATTTGTTG